TTTTAACACAGAAACGCTGACTCCTTTGGGTGCTGAAATAGCGCTTTAGTGGAGATGTGCAACACGTTCATTGAACTTTAAATGTTTCCATTCTCCGTCAGTCGCTGGAGCAGAGGAAGTGTCTTTGGTTGATTCATTCTCGAATCGCAAAAAATTGCAGCTGTGATCATTTTGATACGGGTCAGTGTTTTTCGAGGTAAATCCTAGTTTTGTTATGCTGCATGCCGATTAAAGGTTTCTATACAGATTCTTTGTATCCGAATCAGTGTAGCAGTGATTCACGTATATTTTGTTTAAACGGGATGTATCATTCTTAATTGCAGTTGAGAGTGCTCCACACAATTGGCGATAGCCTGATATGCATGCTCTTACCTTTAGACGACGGAGGCGTTGCAAGATCCTGTAGGAAATTCGGCGCTCAGTTACCAACACCAACTGTGATGGGCAGAAAATATAAAAGCTCTCAACTGATGCGGTAGTGATCGTATGCACAGCATCGTCAAGCTCTTCTTGAACTCCTTCGTTCTTTGATAATATAGCGTAGTCATAAGACGATAGAAACTGTTCATGTCTGTCCACGTTGGGGACGTGAATATCTCGGCAAGGCACAGTTTTGGGATGATGTAACACCTGTGTTCTCGTTGCGAGTTTGTGACGTAGGTTTAAACCAAGCGTTGGCATAATTCGGACAATGCAGTAGTTCGACATTCTGAAAGGAGAGTGTATATTTCAGGAACGTTCGAAGATACGCTATCGATAGCTGCATCCCTGCATGTGCTGAGAGGCACCAGATCGTCAGGACAAGCGGTAGAATGGCTTCAAGATGGCACCGATTGAAATCTCCGGCCAAAATGGTGATATTCTTCTGAGCAACTGGTGGCAAGAACTGTCTGTTTGTCTGCTAGTCTTCTAGCTCATCTAGGTTTGGGGCGCTGCAGTAGGGAGCAATGTAAACATTCCCCTGACATTATATGCTGAAATTGGGATGAAAATCTTTTCCAGCATGAATGCAAAGAGTCATACGGTCAGTGCGCTCAGACCGGAATGCGAGCTTCATCGTTGGATGGGCACACCATTCCTTTCGAAAGTATGTCAGGACTCCGCCGTCACATGTTTTCTTCATAGGGTATCGATCTATCCGAAATATTTAAAGCCACTAAGCGACAGCGTCCTGTATTTGATTGCTTAGCCACGATTCATGGATGTGAAACACCTAGGCATTTGTATATCGCCTAATGTCGAGAATGGCCACAATTTCGTCACGTTCGGAGCGAACGTAGATGTAAGAGAATAGAAGGTTTCCACCACTGTTCATCTCAAGGGTAGTTTTTTAACCTGAACAATGACCGTGTTTTCGTCGATATCGAGCATCGCACAAGATACCCGCTTCCAATATGTCGCTGAAAGTCTGTGGAAAAAGTTTCATGGCGACCTTATGTAGTGTGCGAAGAGCTTTGCGGGAATGATGCAACCTGCCGATCATCTGCCAATGAACAGAAAATGGCTGCATTTAAAAGGTGAATTTGAAGCAAGTAGCTTAGCAATTGAAAGAAGAAATGCGCGAGACGGCAGCGAAAGCAGTGGCCAAAGTGGAATATGATTTATGGGAAAAGTTCGGTGATGTGTTTGAGTCTAATTTTCAAACCGGAAATATGTCGTTCTGGCAGACCGTCCGCCGCTTCCGAGGCAGAAGAAAGACAGCCTAAAATGCGCATAGGATAAGTTCGTGTTATTGTTTACCAAGGATGAGGACATACTTAAAAGATGGATAGAGTATTCTAAGCTCTCTTTGACTGAAAGCAGTAGCGAGAAATCTCGCCTGAAGAGCAGCAAGCAGAGGAAACTAGTCTGTGAGGAAGTGAGGTCAAGTTAAAAAAATGTTTCAGAAATAGATTGGTTTGTTGAAATCAACAAAACTCCTCCTCATGTGCTTTAAGTTTTTGGTAAGTAAAGTTCGTTATGGTTTACAGGTATCCGCGAAATTGCAACAACCACTGCGATGACATTAGAATGGGTTGTAACATGACTGGCCAAGAACGTTTATCATATGGAGTACTTTAGCTATCTGAGCGTTAGAATACTGGACTTTAGGAAAAGCCTCTATGCAAGGCAATGGGAAAGAGGTTCAGCGGAATAGCCATTTGTTAGAGCCAAGTAAAGGAGTGCGATTTTCGCTCAGTTTGAAATTGTGACCCTGAGGTTGAGATATTGTAGGAGTTCAATCAGCCTGAAAATGCGGGGAGTTCGCTCAATCAATTAACATGTGATTTGTAGATCTGGCGAATGTCTATGACGAATTTTCGTGCAGTAGACTATTTATACACCTGAAAACGTAGGGGATCTTTGGCCAGTTGTTATGCACCACATATTCACTCTACATCAATATCAGGTGCTGCGTCAGAGCAAATGTGCAGACTAGATGATTCTTTACAGCCGTTAGCACTGGGATCCACTAAGGCGGCGTTCTGTTTTCTCCTATATTGGTTTTGTACATGGATGAAATAGTTAAGCGCAGCCAGGAGGAAGAGTGTATCTGAATATGAGATGTGATGTCAAGAAGGATGCTATTTGCAGATATATTTTGTTGGCATCTACCATAGCTGATACCCAACGTAATGTAAAGTTTTCATCTCAAAGCGACATAGTCGGAAGGTTTGTTATCGTTTGAGTACTAAAAGTGCTTCCCTATCCGGCTACATTTTGTGCTTAGTGCTTCCCTATCCGGCTACATTTTGTAGATAAAGGCGTAGCAGCAGAACAAGTGAAGTTCACATACCTTAAGGTCGTGATTGCTGGGAATGGCAAACTTTAAGCCGAGATGAGCTAGTGAATTGAAATAAAATGACCCGAATCGTTGTCACTATGTCAAAACTGAGTCTAAATGCGAAGCTGTCTGTGTTCAAGAGGTTGGGCTGCCTCTAGTTAAACAACGAAAACAAAAACAAAAACGGCACAAATCGGTCCTGGTTCTACCTATAAATAAGCTCAAACAAAATTCATGGCATTTTTTAAAAATTTTCATTAAGAATCACAGTAAACTTAGTGCGGTAGTGCAATCTGTGTGCTTGGAAATTCGCTGCTTGATTTTACCGAAGGTTGTGTAATATCCAGCAATTGCATATTACGGATTTTTCTTTCTCACAAGCTAGCATTGATAGTTAAGTATAATAACGGATGTAGTGTAGTTTTTACGGTATATGTTCAGATCTGTGTGGATTCCGTTTCGTTAAAGTGGTTTTGTTGAAGCTATGCAGTTTTTTTCGTTTAGCACGGTTTTTGCCTTGTTGTGTTTCGTATAAAATAGCTTTTATCTTCATAGAGTTTCCTTATTCTTACATGTTAGCTGATGAGTCATGCGAAGTTATCAGTTTTACGATGTTTCTTATCCGATAGAAGAGTGACTCGGTTTCTTGTACAAATTTCATTAGGAAGGCAGTCGGCAGTTTCCTGTGGCACGCAAAATTCTAGCGTTTCGTTAAATGCGTTGTTTGGCACAAAGAAGTTGAGAGACATGCTGGAAGATTATGATTTTTCGGATAAGCCACCTCCACCGCCGATTCGATTTACGAGCAGCGTGGTTAAAGACAATTCGCAGACGTTTCTCGACATCAAGCCTCTTCCTCCGGAGCCTGGAAATGACGAGCATACGATAATGAACAAAAAGCGTGAGAAGAAGGAGAGATCGAAAGGCTTTAAAAGTATGTTTCCGCAGTTGTTTGCAGCTGAGCCAGTGCTATGATTACGCGCCACGGTTGGAATTTTAGAGAATCGTGAGAAAGATCGTACTAACGACAAACCTGTTATATCGCCACCTTCAAATTTTGAGCACACGCTTCACGTTGGCTACGACTCACAGACCGGTGAATTTACGGTATTTAAAGAATAAAGGTTAGCGAGTTTGCACCTGTTTTGTGCTAGGGTATGCCTGAACCATGGAAGATCCTTCTGCAACAAAGTATGATTACAAAGACGGAGCAACAAAGGAATCCACAGGCCGTGTTGGACGCGTTGGATTATTTTACAACGGGAAACAAGGATACGAAGCAGAAGTTTCTACAGCTTAAACCCTTTTCAGGCACTGCTGTCATTGCTGTATTCTAGTTTATAACTAAGGATTCATGTTTACTTTACAGGTTTTCAGCCTTTGTACTTGAATTCATTGCCGATTTCGCAGATCAATCCTCCAGTACTGACAGTGAAGTGTGTAAGATCATAAACTCGACTTTGCTTTGCTCGTTTAGTTACATTCTCCACCTCCGCTTCCCGAAGACGACGCAGATGATCAACCTCCATGCATTCCAGACCGACCCCAGCGAACAATGTCTATTGTATGACTGAATGATATTAGTTTTATTGCTTATTTCGTAGTTTGCCATTTAGTATACAAAACCGAAAGAAATTTCCCCTGCTTTACCCATTCAGTTAAACGGCATGATGACTGCCATTCCTGAAATAGGTGGAAATTCTCGTCCGCAGAAGAAGAAAAAGATGACCGATGAAGAAGTTTTGGATAAACTGCGTCTAATTGTTTCAGTAGGCGATCCGAGCCGGAAGTATACCAAGCTGGAAAAAATTGGTTCTGGAGCCAGCGGGCACGTGTTCACGGCGATCGAAATCAGTACAGGCGCTGAAGTAGCGATTAAGCAAATGAATCTTGCTCAGCAGCCAAAGAAGGAGCTGATAATTAACGAAATCCTTGTCATGCGCGAGAACAAACACCCTAATATCGTTAATTATTTGGATTCCTATTTAGTTGGAGAAGAACTTTGGGTGAGTATTTATGGAAACAACAAATGCCATTTAAATGTCTTCTTTAAATTATACCGTGTTTCCAGTGTCTACTGTAATTTGCTCTGCCGAACTAACACATTCGAAACTCATCTGGAACGTATTCTTTCTTTGTTAACTGCGCCTTTAAGAAACAAAAATTGGCAGTTTTGGCGGAAATCGCTATATGAAATACTGAAGTAACATCAAGTATGCTCTCTTGATAATTTAGATAGAAATGCATGGATTGCACAATGTGACTAGTTTGTTGGTGTCAGATGTTTTAGGTTTTTTCGTATATTGTTGTATCAGTCCTTAAAGATAGGACAGGTCGATGCTTAGATCACTTTGCACGACTGACAGACAATGAGTGGAGTTCGACAGGCCTATAAGCCCCCAGTCAAAATATCAACTCAAATGGAATGATGAGACGACATCTTGGAGTGTTATGGAAACTTTTGACAAATCACAGCAGACATACAACATGGGGATCGTTATCAGTCAGATAGTCAAATTTGCTTAGAAGAACCCTAAGGCACGCGATGCGTTGCCAAACTTGGTTATAACAAATGAGCCATTGTGAAACAAGAAAACAAGCAGTGTGAATATGGATTCTTTTAAGGCAGACCAGTCTCTTAGGACGATCAAGTCGGTAACAAACGAAGTCTTTCAAACCGACGATGTTCTCATCATCTGTGGGATATAGCCAAGTTTCTTGAAGAGAATGACGCGAGTGTTGCTGAAAGGCGGCATGGCGGGAAGCGCCTTAAGCTCATGGAATTTCGGAATGTTCCACAATCTGCCACAGAAAGAGTATGAAAGAAGAAACAGGAAATCCGGTGCTCAACTGATTACGCAAGACGTTGACACTCATGATAGCATTAATAGGACATACATGGCTGTGTTTTCCCAGAGACTTCGCCACAGCCCCCAATCCTTATTTCTCACCCGGACTTAGTCCGGCAACGGTGAAGTCACGATGACGAACTTGATTACAGTTAACAAGGATTGGTCAAGAAGTCAAACAGTCTTATGCTTTTAGCTATGACTAAATTTTATTACAATATCTTCTTAATTTCTTTCGCGTTTCATGTGACGTGACTAAAAGTGTTAGTGTTTAACTGAGCTATCATACACCACTGTTCTAATGACTAGAAAACGGTTTTGATGATTTTGCTTGCATCGTGTGTGATTTATAATTCGGAAAAATTTCAGAAACGCGCATTTTTTAGACGTTACGTGAAGTTGAGCAGCTTTGTTTTTCATTTACTGTTTAGTATACTCTAAAATGCTCTATGATTGCAGTATTTCTATTAAATAGTTTTTACGTGAAAAATAAGTATGACTGCACAAATCTTCTATCGATGCACTGAAAAAGTTAAAATTCAAAAGTAATTGGAATAGTTCGTTCTTCTAAACTTCATACTTTGAATCCATGCTGAGTTTCGACGTCGCAGTAAGATTATGTAGATCGTTAAATGAAGTGGTTAGAACAGTATAGTAATAACTAGTGGTATGATTGCGCTGGTTGAATCTTCCGTACGGTACTAACCACCATACTGATGTTTCGGTTGACGGATGTATAAGAAGGTCAGTTTCCTTAAATTGCATACGTGTAACATCAGTGCTGCTCAAGGTCAGTACCCCGTTTCTCTTAATATATTAGTTCACTTTCTGATTCTAAATCTTTCGAAGAGTACAATATTAAGCAGTACATTATTAGGAAAATTATCTCTTGATAAGCTGTTATAAGTATATTGCGCGTAGTTACACGGTTTGGAGTAATTGTCTTATATTTGAGTCAATGCGCCATCTTCGGGGACCACTCTACAAACGCAGACGTCAACAGGCAGTCTCGATGTCAAGTTTATCTGTACCTGTTGGCGACTCTGTCAATGTATACTGTTTTGGCCGTAAAACATTTGCTCATATTTTCGAAATAGTCTGGAGCAGAACTTTGTGCGTACTGACTTGCAGTGGAAAGAACATGTAGTTTCTGCATGGCTTTCCTCTCATTTTTTATATTATAGCTATAAGTTACTGTGTCTGGCGGTGTTCTGATACTCGATTCTAACAGTTTGACATTTCCCAGCTTAGTAATATGTGTTAAAATCAGCGGAAATTAATTAATTTGGCTAACTGAAAGTTTCGAACATTGCGTCGCATTCCTCGATAGCGACTATAATCAGAATCTAAATTAGATTTCTAAAAGGAGAGTCAACGTTAGGGATTAATTATCTTGCGCCGTTCTTTTTTGATTCATGGTTTTAAGTGAAACAGTATGCACGAAATCTATACTATTCGTATAAAAGATTCTTTTAATTATGCAAATATTTAACTTATCGATTATGCTAATATACGATGCCGGTATTTTTAAACTGTGACTGAGATTATTTAAACGACGCAGAACCTGGGCCTCGCGCGTAAAGAGAGGAAAGGTGTTTAGATGACTTGTAGTAGACAATCTTACAAAGTGCAGAAGTGCTGAGGCTTGTAAACTATGTTGCTGCGTTGATCAGGGTAAACTTGAGGTAAACGGAATGTCAAATGCTGACCGCTCGAATCCATACCTTGCAAGGGTTTCATTTGTTTCAGCTTTGTTCATCAAAGGATGCTGACAGTGGATTGGTTGCAGTGAAGATAGGGAATCGAGCTTGAAAGATCCGCATTTTCAGAGTTCCTGCGTGACGTCGGGCATTTGGCATAAGAATGGATGGTGCTGTTGATGACGGACATCAGCACCACCAAACAAATTCTAAAAATGCTAGAGGCTGTGGGTCATCGCATTGCTAAAACTGGGGAAGCCTGCAGCCACCCCCCTGGTTTATTATAGACCCATGTCGTTGCTTTTTTATCATAGAAATTTCGGAGTTACTAATTTTTTTCGAGTTATAGATTACCCCTTTCCATTTGAACATTTAGCTGGATTCCGGCAAAACAGAAGCCTTTGTGGGCAAGTTCTGGACCTCGCAACTACTACTGAAGCTGGATTCCAAAATGAGTATAAAAGAGCTACACATTGGCTTTTAGTGGCATACATTTGTTGGTTGGCCAGATGTTGAAGTTAGCTAAATACCATGTCAGAATGTTCTGGTTTCGATTTGGAATGCTATGTTTCATAAGACTGATATTGAAGCAGTCTTTGGGAAATTGGTGTGTACAACATTCTTAGCTTTCCATGTAGTAGCATAACATTTAAACTTTTATAGTAACATAGAATAAGTGATTTTGCTAGTTACGCAGCCACCATAAAGTATAACCACCAAAGTATCTGGCTCTCGATGTGATCTCACTGACAAAGCGTCATTGTAAGCTGCTTTTTCAACAGTATTAATAGTGGTCATAATCGTAAAAAGTATTACGCAGCTAGAGTGCAGATCATGGACAGTATATGCTGCAATTTTATACTAATATATTATAATTTCATCTCTAGTGTTCAGAAGCAACATGGTTATTTTGCAGTGACATTTTAGGTAATGATGGAGTATCTTGCTGGTGGGTCGCTGACAGACGTTGTCACTGAGTGCCAGATGGAAGAAGGTCATATTGCAGCTGTTTGTCGTGAAGTAAAGTTTTCAGCCCAACATTGCTCATGATAATTTAAGAAGTTAGGTTCTTCAAGCTCTTGACTTCTTGCACAGCAGAGGCGTAATTCATAGAGATATAAAGTCGGACAATATTTTGTTAGGTATGAACGGAGCAGTGAAGCTCACAGATTTCGGTTTCTGTGCTCAGATTTCTCCGGAACAAAATAAAAGGACTACAATGGTTGGTACGCCATACTGGATGGCTCCTGAAGTAGTTACTCGTAAGCAATATGGACCCAAAGTTGATGTTTGGTCGTTGGGCATCATGGCAATTGAAATGGTAGAAGGTGAACCGCCGTACTTGAACGAAAATCCGCTACGGGT